GTCGCCCAATCAAATGTTTAAAGCTTAGCGACCACCCACGCCCCACTACCAAATACTTTTTGAAAAAATGAATTGATCAAATGAGTCTGGTTTCGTAATAATTGAGTCCTGGTTTTTTGTTTTTCAGTAGGCGTCCCGTTCATTTCACTTATTTGAGTTTTTAATTTGAATTGAAATGTGATTTTATGTGAGAACTTTTTACTGTAATAAAAAAATTAGATATGATTATTTGTGAGAGCTTTTTACTGTAGTAAAACTCGAATTCTAAACTCGAATCAACGAAATGAACGAGGCCGTCTTTGAACTTTTAAGGGTTCGTTCTTTTAAAGTAAAACTCAAAAAAAATTTGAACTCAAGTTATAATTTGAGGCCCCATTCATTTCGCCGATTTAAGTTTAGAATTCGAGTTTTACTACAGTAAAAAGCTCTCAGAAACAATCACATCTAACTTTTTGCTACAGTAAAAAGCTCTCATATAAAGTCACATCTCAACTCGAATTAAAAACTCGAATCAACGAACTGAACATGAGTTTGTAAAATTTGAGTTTAAAGTTGAGTTTTAACTCGAATTTTAACTTGAGTTTGAGGCTAAAATCTGAGTTCAAGTTTTCCTTTCAACTCAAGTTTCTAAACTCAAGTTAATGAACAATATTTTTTCTATTCTTAAAAATACTATAACTTTTTCGTTTTAATTCCGATTGAGATGATTCTTTTTTTTATACGTTCACAACGAATAGACGAATAAAACCTCACCCATATACCCTATTAAAATTTTCTATCATCATTGAGTTTTTATTAAAATACTATTTAAATACAAACTCAAGTTTTGATCCATCTAAACACAAATTCAAAAGATTCTCATCTCAAACTATAACTCAAATGTACACAACCAAACATAAACTCAAGTTACAACTTTAATTCAAGTTATAACTCAAATTCAACTCAATATTTATACTCAAGTCACCATAACTCAAAAATACAACTGAACAATCCTTAAGTATTTAGGGTCCGTTTAATTTACTGATTTGAGTTTTTAATTCAAGTTGAGGTTGAACCTAAACCTGTGCTCGAGAGATAGCTGTCCATATATAGATAAGGGATGTATGGATTATGGCTTTGGTTTACTAGAGACATCGATAAATTTTTTAGCTCGGTCGAAAGGAAATCCTTTTCCTAAGGATTCTATTAAATAGAAATTAGAGAACGAAGTAACTAGAAAAAAGAGTGTTAGAATCCCCTTCTTTTCTATTTTTCTATAAGGATAATCTAAAAAGCGGGTCATTTTGAATGCATTCAGACAGAAAAGCTGACATAGATGTTATGGGCCGAATTTTTTAATTTCGTTGATATCTTCCATCTCGAAATTTATCCATCTTCCATAAAGGAGCTGAATGAAACCAAAGTTTAGATGTGCCTTTATGTGAGTTTTTAGTATAGTAAAAAAGTTAGATGTGACTGTTTTGAGAGATTTTTACTATAGCAAAACTCGAATTCTAAATTCAAATCGATAAAATGAATGGTGCCTTGATTTCTAATATAATAATTCCAAGAAAATATCATTTTAATACATTGTATTAATTTTAAATAGGTGTCTTCACGTTTTAAAAAAATCATTTTTTTAGTACTTTGAGACTTTTTTTTATGTATAAAATGTTAAAACTATCCTTATCATTATTTTCTTAATTGGTGACCAGAAATTTCATATGAAATTTTAAAACTGCCTATTTCAAATGCTATATCTAGCTTTTGTTGTAATTATTAAAACTCAAAAATTGTAGAAATAAACTTTTAATATTAAAATAATTTGAAAGTGACAATGATGTAATGATTAAAAAAAATGTATCAACCAATCACAATCAAATGTCAAATTTATTATATATTAAATTTGATGGCAAATCCACAAAGTTGAACATATGACAAATTTAGCATAGTAAATAACATTGCATTGAAGAGTGTTTTTGATACTCAAATATAAAATTTACTATTAGCACATTAATTACAACATTACATTAAAGATGCTCTAATATCCCATGGTTTTGAAAATAAAACTTGCCCTTGGTTTTTCTATGTTCTGGTCATAAATTATAATTTATTTTTCCTTTCAAAATTGCTCAGCGTGTGCCCGTTCTTTTCGCTAATTTGAGTTTAGAATTCGAGTTTTGTTATAGTAAAAAACTCTCAGAAACAGTCACATCTAACTTTTTTGCTACAGTAGAAAGCTCTCACACAACATCACATCTTAACTCAAATTAAAAACTAAAATTAGCGAACCGAACAGAATTATCCCTTGAATAGAGTAATACGTATACATACGCGCTCGTGTGTGTGTATATATATGTATGAGTGACTAAATAGCTAATTCAGAAGACCATCTGTTAGTTAGAAGTCTGAACAGCCATTGTACGCAATATATATGTACTTATACCAATTTATTGGAAAGCAATATTTCCATTAATGTATATTTAGGTCCGTTCATTTTATCAATTCGAGTTTAAAATTTAAATTTTATTACAGTAAAAAATTCTTAAAAATAGTCACATATAATTTTTTTATTACAGTAAAAAATTCTCACATAAAATTAAATTTTAACTCAATTCAGCGAATTAAACGAACCGTTTATTATTTTATGTTCATTATAAAAGCCTGATACAACTCATCGTGTAAATCCAACAATTGTTGTTCGCACAACTGAAGCTGCATAGAATGGCCAAACTATTGACTTTATACTGACCTTTATCTTTATCTAAAACTTTTTAGAAGACAGTGTTATGCAAGATTTTATAGACAATTATATGCGGTAAGGCTTTCCTTTTGTCGAAGTTTGATCATTGTTTGTGAAAGCTTGTAATTATATTGATCCAATAACTTGTCTGATAAAAAAGAAGTTTCAGATTTTGAATTTTTTAGAGGGTTATTGTTATGATGTATTTAAATATGGCTTTTGAGGAAACTGTGTAATAGATTAACACCCCAAAGTCCTCCCCTTAAAAAAGTTCTTTTTAATAGACAATATATATACATGTGCAAATTCGAAGCTCAATCAAAAAACTTAGGCCCATTTATTTTATATACTTAAACTCAAATAATTAATTCTAGGGAAATAGTAGGAAATAAGTCAATATGAAAAGCTTAAGAAAATATATAGGCCAACTTTTAGTTATAAAAATTAATAGGTCATAACTTGTTAAGTTATGGTTCATAACCAGATAAGTTATGTACAAACTTGTCAAGTTATGGTTCATAACCAGACAAGTTATGGACAAAAACTGAAAATAATTTATCAAGTTATGGTTCATAACCAGACAAGTTATGGACGAAAACAGTAATTTGACATATTTATTAACTTATGTAAACTATTGGCCTATTAATTTTAATTGATCTCAAGTCTTGGCCTATTTTCCACTTTCTCCCTTAATTCTACTACAATGTTTTTCTCTTATAAAAAATTTAAATTTCAAATATCAGAATCAAAAATCATAATTTAACTATATCTTTCAAACGAGCCCTTAATTTAGAACATACTCTTATATGGCGTGATCTAATCATGTATATTCTAATTCATCTCTATTCTGATTACGCGTAGATAAACTTACGGTTTTGATGCTTATAAGTTAGACTGTTCTCTTATCTACTCAAAATATATCTACTAATTATTCTATTTTTATATTTATTTTGCCGTGTAGAGTCATGTGGCTTTTTATGACGTTTAAACTTCCTCGCCAGAAAGGCTTTCAGAAAAATTTTATTCAAAATAAAAAACCTTTCCACATTAATAATGTTCGGAGTAATTAACGTATGTTCATTGGACAAATTGGCCATCATGTTGGCGGCCTTTTAATTTATCTTGTCGTTTTTCACTAGGATAGTAGGATTCCAAAATTTCAAAGACAAGTTTTCAGAGGAAACATGGTGTATTGTTTTCTATGCAGAAGAATTGAAACGACAATCCAAGGGAATTGGTTATAAAAACTCAGGCCTCGTTCATTTCACCGATTTGAGTTTCAGTTTTAGGTTTTTACAGTAAAATACTATCAGAAAATGTCACATCTAACTTTTTCTGCTACAGTAAAAAGTTTTTAGAAAATGTCACATCTCAGTTCGAATTAAAAACTCGAATCGATGAAGTGAACGAGGCCTCAGTATAAACAAATATACACCATTGTCTTTGCTATCTTTTTAAAGAGTTCCCAAAAATAATTCTTATTTTAATACAAAAAAATTTGTGGTTATTTTTTAGTAGACTTTTACTTCAATTTTACTTGTGTAGTTCTAAGGAGTAATAAGTAATGCTATGACGACCGTATTTATCACCAAAATTAATCTACCAACTCTTTTAGGTTTAATTGGAAATGCTAATTGCTAATAAGTTATAAAACTCGGTAAATAAAATCTTGCGAGTGAATTGATGTTGCAGAGTTTTAATTGAAATTCTTTTGTACAAGATAAATATATTTTTATTTTTTAGGATATCATTTCAAATACTAGTATAATTACAAAACATCCAACTTTATATTTTAATGGAAATACATTTTTTCTGAGTTAAAAAATAAAAATCTCCATTTATTTAATAGATAACAAAAAAAATTAGAAAGAAGCTACCCTAATATTATTTTACAAGTCTTAAAACTTAAAAAAAGAAAACTGTAACCCTCAAAATAAACAAATAATAAAAAACTTAAAAGTCTCCTTTAAGACTTTAAAAGAAATCTTAAAAGAAAAAACCTCTTACTGTTTAAATTATTAATTTATTTTTTTAACCGCTTAATTAGTTTTTCAACGACCAATCTATGCGCGTATTAAGAATTTATAATAAAATTAATCCAACGGGTAACAAGCAGTTTTTACATACAAATTGCCTAAACAAAAAAGCAAAAAAAAAATAAAAAGAGAAAAGCGACATTTGCTATGAACAGAAATCGAAACGTGGACGTTTTGGAATCGGAATTGGGATTTCCCACAAACACCACCATTTCTATTAAATATGACTCCTCTTCAGAAACCTGAAGGAGCACAGAAATTGACAATTGAAATTTCTCTCTCATTGGAGAGAGAGAGAGAATTGGGAATTAGGCTAAATTATACCTTCGTCTCAGACTCATTTCTTCTGAATTCTCCGGTCGCGATTCAATGGCGGATCCCTTGGAAGCTTCCCCTCTCGTCCCGCCGTCTCCGATCACTGACCCCAACGAGATCGACCTCGAGGCAGGCCCCGGAGAACAAATCCAATGCCGAATTTGCCTTGAAACTGACGGTAATTGATTATTTTCTCTCTCTGTCTCTCTTTCTCTCTATGTTTAATTCTTCCAGTTCATCGAATTCTGATTCATGCATTTCGAATTTTGTCGCTGGAATTCGGTACCAATCGGATGTTTGGTTCTCGAGAAAATTGTGTAATATTGAGGTATATGGTTCTTTTATTTATTTATTTATTGGAAAAATTGAAGTCAACTACGCGAAGTAATGGTAATTGGATTTGGCTGCTGAGCTGACTAAGCTCGGGACAATTTATATGAATCGTTGAAGTACAATTAAAGTACAATCACGTGCTTGCTTGCTCATTCAATAGTTCAGTTTTTTATTAGGATCACTAAAGTATATATTACTTTTTTTTCCCCTTATTGCTCAGGTAGGGATTTTATAGCTCCTTGTAAGTGCAAGGGAACATCGAAATATGTGCACCGAGAATGCTTGGATCATTGGCGAGCCATAAGGGTATGTGGGCAATCTACATTTTTTTTTTTAAAGGAAATTCTTGTTTTTGAATTTAGAGTTGGTGAATATAGTATCATAATCATGTGATTGTGTCAAGCGCATGCTTGTTGCTTACGTTTAGAAAGTAGAGGTGTGTCCACATGCAAGATTAAGAAGAGCCCCCGAGAAAAAAAGAAAAAGTTAAGAAGTTGCAAGGATGTTTTGGTTTATTTTTGTATATCCATAAATATAAAGAAGGCAATTTAATTTTGTAACTTGTTGTGGTGTGTTTTTTCTTGCATCCTCATAAGGAAACTATTGCCGTGTGGATATACAGGAAAAAATTAGCTGTCGTTGCAACATCTGTGAGTTACAAAATTGAATTAGACGCTAACATGATTTTGGTGCATAGGGTAGTCTTTAGTGAGTTGAATATGTGGTTGTGATGTTATTTTGCATGGTGTTAAATTGAATGAAGGCAAATTACTGAATAAGTTTGAGATATCAACCAACGTATATGGATTTCTTGATAATGCACTCTTTACTAGTTAGATCTGATTGTACTACTTCAATTTTGCAGGAAGGCTTTGCATTTGCTCATTGCACAACCTGCAAAGCTCCTTACCATTTGAGAGTTCATGCTGCTGCTGATAGGAAATGGAGAACCTTGAAATTCCGATTTTTTGTGACTAGAGACATCATGTTTATATTTCTGACTGTTCAGCTTGTAGGTCATTGGTTGTTCATTTCTGTCTGTTATTTATTCTTAGGCTTTTAGGACTTCTTTTTAAATTTTAAATCCATGTGTTTCTGTTCGTCTGCAGGTGATTTCTTCATTGGCATATCTGGTGTATTTGATAGATGGTTACCAGCAATCCTGGATTCGCCGTGCATGGGATTTTGATAGTGAGGTCACTTTCTATTATATATGTGGTAAAATCTCATTCCTCAACTACTCAAGTTAATAGTCTTTAAATGCTTATACAGGTATTCTATCATGTATGAAATTTGTCATTTTATTCCTTGCAGATTGACATTTGAGTTTTTTATGGAATTTAATAACTAGTGAGATGCATCAAGTTTTACCTTGATTTTTAGCTGTATAAATATTGCCACTACTGAATTAATTTATTGTTTTGATTAGAAATATATTATGCGTTGAGGATGCCTGTGAAAAAAAATTATTATTAATATTTGTAACTAAAGAAGTACGGGAAGGTGATTGTATTGTTAGATAAAGCCGTACTATTGGATCAGGTTGCAATGCGTTTGTTGTGCTGTTAATGAGACCACTCTATTATCTGAAAGTGATATGATGAATCAGTAAAGGTCACGTAGAAGACCGTGGTTCATTAGGATTAGGTGGTCCACTATTCTAGTTACTTACCATTGGCTAATGGTTCTACCCTTCTGCTCTGTCCGGCCTTCATGATGTTATCACCTAAACCTGGTGGCTTTTGTTAGTCCTGTAGTCCAATGCTTTTATTTCGTGTTTTGGCAGTCCACTATTTATACCAAAAGGAAATGAAGTGTGCACCACTTTTATAATTCAAAATGTAGTTTTGCATGTTAGCAAAACATTCACAAAATCCTTTCTTTTTTAATACTTCAACATTTATAATTCTGCTGCACTTACTCATTTATTTATTTATTTTTTTACCGTAGGACAAAATTCATTTTTATTACATCTGGCTTCGGCAGTTTGATATAGTTTTCGATATTACATCTTTTTTCCTGGGAATTTTGTAATGAAATATCCGAATACAGATCTAGTTTTCAGTCATGCCAATGTTTATGATATATGCTTTGATTGCATTTATTCAGTTCTCGTTTTTCTTTTGAAAATTCAGACTAATAATTTATTGCCACTTCTTGCCTGTTTGTTTGTTATGGTAATTTGCATTTTGATCTTGTTGAATGAATGCAGGAGCTCTATTGTTTTTTGCTTTGCTTGGATTATCTGGATGCTTCATTACTTGTTATGATCGAAGAGTGCGCAATGATTTGGCCCAACCTTGCCGAGAGTTATGTCTTTGTTGCTGTCATCCTGGGTATAACTCTGCTTTATTTACTTTGGAAAATTTGTAGTTGATGATATATTTATCTTTTAGTATCAATTAATTTGATCATAGTTATTACTTTGTTTTTCCCTTCTCGGTTTTTTGTTTTTGGTTTAGAATTTCTAAAGAAGTCAGTTGCAAATTGAATTTATCTCGTTAGTTACCATTTTTTCTTCTCCAAAGTTATTTCAAATCTTTTGCTCATTTGGTAAATTTTCATAATAAGAGATAACGTAATGAGTTGCAAGAAACAAATATCTAATGCCCTTCCTCCTCCTATACCTTCACTCTTCTTTTTTCATCAACGTTCCTTATGGAAATAGGGAATTGTAACAGCCGGCACACTAGTGCAAAGATTTTGTCTTCATTTTTCCTAACCGGAAAAGAAAAAAGGAAATAAACTTCGAATATTTGAAGACACTGAGGCCAAGTTTTGGCTTGGAGTTCTTTTTGGTGTACTTACTGATGTCTTCACATCTTACAGAATCCCTGCATCAATTGCTACATGGTCATTGATCCTTTATCTCTTTAACCCTGCGTGAATTTTGCTCATTTTTGTGTGAATAACATGTTTTCTTAATGTCATTTGACTAGTGTGAGTGTTCAATTCAAATTCTTGTTTTTTTCTTTTATTTTGTTTAGGACAATCAGATTAATGTTGGTATGATAGGAAGCCAGCTAACTCTAACACTCTGATGAGCCAGATGAATGAATTCTCATTGAATTAACTGATAAAAAGTACAAGAAAACCAAAAACGGTGGTATTCGAGAGACCACCACTCTCCCTTTATTGGTTTCCCAAGCCCAAAACAATCCATAACAATTCAGACATAAGCCTCCCTATCCCTGCCAACCCCTTTTATACTAATAATTGCTTTTCTAACCCAATACTAACAAATAACCCTTCAGTCTATCATACTCTTTAACTAACTACTAATTACTAACTCTAATGCTCAGTACCTAACATGGTAACCGGCTTGTTTGTAATTCTTGTAGTGTCTGTGCGGACTGTCATTTACCCGGCACTCTTTGTATGTGGACCGACTGCACCACATGCTTTGAGAGCTGTGCAAGTATGGCAGGTGAATGTGGTTGCCTAGGAGGTGCTGGTGAAGCAGGGCTACCATTGCTGTTTATAATGGCATTGATTGTGCTGGGACTTTTTACTTTAATTGGAATATTCTATAGTGTCTTGGTGGCTACAATGGTAGGACAACGAATTTGGCAACGGCATTATCATATACTTGCAAAAAGGATGCTAACAAAAGTGAGTCAGGGTGATTTTATTCCGTCCTTGTTTATTTATTGGCTGCAATAGTATAAATTTCTTTTGCCATGTATATCAAGTTCAGCCCAGAAATGATGGTCAGTAGCTCTTTAAACCTCCAAAGCACTAAGATCTTAGCTCGACTTAGTCGACTGCCTACCTTTAGTAGAATTAAAATTTTTGCATAGCCAACTAATTTGCGGAGGAATACTTTAGACAAAAGAATAGCCTATAAAGCGGGATAGCAAAATTTAGGACTGAATTGAATGTCTTGGCATTACAAGAAATGATTCTTTATCTTGACTTGGAATCCCCTGGAAACATGAGTATTTTTCAGCCCCTTTAGATTTTAAAGTCGTAGGCTTAGCTTTTTTAGCCTCTTCTCCTGCCTATTTATTAATCAGTTGACTTGATCCAATTTCCCCTGACAGGATTGAATAGCTAGAAAAAAAAAAATTATATATATATATATATGGCCTTCCACAATGTGAATAGTCTCTGTCCAGTTCAGTTATGTTAATATGTAGTAGAAATGTAATTCTAATGGGTCTTGTTGATCATGTATGCTGGATAATCTTTTGACGTCGATTTATTTTCTCTACTAGGAGTATGTTGTTGAAGATGTTGATGGTGAAATGTCGGGATCAGATTGGTCTTCCCCGCCTCTCCCACCTGAGCATGTTCAGCAGCTGAAGACATTGGGCCTCTTATAAGTGGAAGGGGTCATACTATTACTCACATTAATAGCGTGGTGTAGATATCACTGTTTCTCTATCAGGTAAATCGGTCTGCATATTTGTGGCCCTCTTGGTCGTCTTCTTTTAACGCCATAAATTTCTTGTGCGGTATCTGAGAAAGATGTTGAAAGCACTTGTTGCGAACTTAATATACATAAAACTGCGTATGATATTTTGTGGAAGGCAACTGGAAATTATTAAATCGGTGCAAGAAATCTGGGATTAGAACATCTTAAAATAGCTAACATGTATATCAGTGACGTTTACATCTTTACAAGTCATAACTTGCTTTTGAGATTGGAGGGGTGGAATCTACTATAATCTTTTACTTGCTTAAATACGGTGGCTTGATATATCTTAAATAGCCTTGTTCGATAATTCAAATCGTGTTTCCATAATGTGGTGGTGGTTCAAGACATTCTTGAATCAAAACATTTCTTCGGATTTCTCGCTTTGCGCATAAATACGAGTTGACAAATTTTCTTAGTTGCTACGACAAAGGCAAGTGAACGCATTTGAGTCGCACGTGATGTGAAGCTGCTTATTTCTTTTCTTTAATAATTCTTTTGCTGTATTTTGTTTAATAATAACTTGTTGAAGAATCATGTGTGTTGCTTAATATGTTTTATGCTCGAATATATTGCACTAGCCATCTCGTTGTCTTCTTGCGTATGGTTTATTCAATATTTTATTGTTTGGTCGCAACAAAAATGCATTGTTTCGCTGGAGTTTCTCTGGTAGGACCAGAAAAAATGATCTACTGGTAGTTCTCTATTTTTCAGCCGTCAGATTTGTATCAGAAACCGCATGTGCTGCATATTTTTTTAAACTGATGTGATTTTTACTTGATCTAACGGTCAGAAACTGACACTATCAGTAGGACGGGCTTACTAAACTCCCTTATTTTGCTGGAAATGTTTGCCTTTCCCCCTTTCTTTTTCTTGTTCTCATCGTGAGGACCTTGGTCTTTATAAACTGCAAAAATTAGAAAATTCCGAAGCTGGTAGGTGGGGTTTTTTTTTTTTGGTTGTCTGGTAGTCTATGCCCCTGATTCTAAGCTCTAGCAATGTATGAGGTTCCAGCGCTAACTGAAAAACAAAAAGCTGAACCACATAAATAAAAGATATAAACACCAATGCAAATGGTCCCGTGGTACACGAGACATAACCCAAACATGATAACGACAAAGTTCCACGGTGCACCATTAATCCAGCACACATAATGCACGATGACACATCTACAATCAGTGGAGGCCTATGATCAGCAGTGAGGCCACTAGCAATTCCAAATAAACACACGTCTAACACAACCAAAATACTGTTAGGACACAAAACAAAAAACCTAGAAGATGGAAACAACATCACCATAATTTGAGACAACCATCAATCACAAAAGCAACACGGAAGAACCGCCAAGACAAGCCGGCCCATGCCACCAAAGTGACGGAGAAACGTATAGTTGCAAGAAGTCAGAACTGCAAAAGACGGAGCACCACCACTACACGGGCGTTGGCGACTCCCCCCGTTACCTCATCAAAACCCAATCCGTCCGACCACGAGGTCATGCCTCCCACCAGATTCTTCACTGCGGGACTCATAGTTCCATCTTTAGAGCCGAAAATGGCCAGTAGCCATAGGAGTTCAACCCTATCAGAGGGACACACACAAAAAAAAAAACTCTTAGCACAACGAGAGAGGACCAAGATATCTCAATTCTTCTATTATGAGAGGTTATTATTTATTACCGAAAAATGCCTAATATGATGAACACCATGGAATAAATGGAACCGTTTTATATATATTAAGGGGGAAATTTTATATTTTCTATGTTTTATTTTAGCATTCTCAAGAAAGAATGTTCACGTGTTATTCTTTTACAAAGGTCTTGTCAGGTCCTCTAATATTTTTTACATGCATCTTTGATATACAGTAATTTTAAAGATAAGAATATAAATCTTGTCAAGTTACTTAATCATTTTTTAATCTTGTCAAGTTACTTAATCATTTTTTTAATAATATGATTTCTAATGATTATGGAATGCGAAACACACGGCTGTAGTGAAATAAACGATAATAAACATAAAAATGATTAACAAAAGAGATTACGTCATGATAGGGTTGTGACATTTGTCAGTTTTTGAGACAACCTTACGTGGTGAGAGTAAGTGGTTTCTTCCTTAATCAACGGCTACTTTATTGGCTGTTGGCTTGTTTTGATTGGCTTGATTCTAAGTACATACGTAATTATGTTCAAGTAATTAGTAGATCATGAATCCACCGACAAGCCTAACGCCAAAAGCAATTTTGTCACTTTCTTGTTGAAAAAATAACAATAAAAAAAGAAGGTACAATCTTTTTTACCTTATTCTTTTTATCATGAATTCGGTGCAATGAATACTGTTAAAAATGACTTGTACAAGATGACTTCTTTCATGAACTTGGCGATCCAAATAATAAATCATTGTTCTATTATTCATTAGTCTAGATTGAATCAATTAGAAGACTTTCTTCCGTTCTCTTTTTCCCTTCTTAACCAAAATAATGATCAACGTCTGGACGAAAATTGTCTTGTCATGTAAGGCGTTTTTTGTGTGATTCAGGATTTTTTTCATTTTAATATATTTTTTATTCCATAAAGATAAAAGTAATAATATTTCTATTATGTATTGTTGTGTTTTTACAATTTTTGGTTTATTTATGGAATAATAAAGGTGGTCTTCCTATCATTTGTGGCATGTTTACTTAC